TTACTCAGGCAACATTTATCACCCAACTTCTAGACTGTCTTTGAAGATTTAGTCGACCATTAGTTTTAGTTCCGCTTTCCATTAAACCAGAGATATCTTGGCCACGTCTAAGCTGTTATATCTTAGTATACAATGCTTATGCTTAAATATGCTTATGAAACTATGTTTCATTTAAATTTCCTGCTGTAACTTCCTTTGCTTTCCTTTCCTTTCTCTCAGCATATTTCTAGTTGTTTTCGAGTGATATTTTCTCTGCCTGTCTCATACCTTTTGCATCGCTTTCTTATTTCCCTGTAGTTTTCTGTGTGTTTCCCTGAGTTCTACATCTTTCACACTTTTCCGCACACGCAGACAGACGCTTTCCTGGGGCGCAACCAATTAAATCAGCCACAAACCCTGACGTGCGTACAAATCAAGTTGTCTGCAGATCCGAGAGTGCCCCATGCCCGATACCACTGCGTCTACATCTGCCTGGTATCGCCTCGCTGTGTTAGTTGTTTGGTTGTTATCTGTAGACCGCCATAACTTTACGCTAGACTGATTTCATATGCCAGCTAACCGCAGCAATTGTTTTTCGAGTAAGTTAAGTACTTAGTTGACCCACACCATGTCGTCTTCCCAAGGGGCGCCGAACTTCGGCCTAGGGGCAATTACTTAGGAACCGACGACCGACGACCGCCTAGTTGTGCTAATATGCACAAATTATAAGGAACGAGAAAGAGATAGATAGAGAGAGAGAGAGAGGCATGTACTTTGCACTTGGCGGTAGGAAAAGGTCTGCTGACGTTTTACCCTACCTTCTCCTCATCTTCTTGCACTTGGTATAATTTTCCAGTCTTTGGTTTCCTGCTTTGTTTTCCAGCCTGTTCGAAGCGGGCTTTTAGTGTCTCTGTTAATGCATTGGCACTTCCTTAGCTTGGTTCTAAGTTGCCCATTTACAGCCGGTCTGAGCGACGGCTACCTGTATAAATTATTGCCCACCGAGTCGGGCTCTCCTCCTTACCCCCTTCACCCATTCACATTAACAATTCACTGACCGCTCTAAGTCAACGGCCTATTACGACTGTCAGTCGCGGCGAGTGGAAGGGAAAAGAAGTCTAGCCATGGCTTTTACTCTTCCCAGTCTCTTGGCCAATTCAGTGTCTGCGTCTGAGTATGGGTTGCGACAAATTGATTCTTGCTTTCGTTATTCTGTATTGATCTTTCTACAATTTTCTGTGGCTTTAGAAAGCAAACGAACATGTGGAGAAACAGCCAATTACGAACGACTTCCAACTGTTGATCCTCAAGAATAGCTGAGCAAAACTTCACTTTAAGATTTTCTATTCATCATGGTATAGACAAGACCGAAGACTACGTACCCTACTTTAAAGTCAACTTTTTCTTCTTAAGGAGACTTTAGTTTAGATCTAGAGAATATTATTTCCCCTAACATGGACTCAATTCAATATTTTTCAACAAAATTTATTTTATATCTCGAATGAACAGAATCGTAGTCATTTAGAAGCAGTCGTTGATGGAGGGGAGAGCACCATCGCAGTACTTCCAGGTGGACCATGCGGTCCAGCCCTGCTGGCTGAGGATCTTCTGGGCGCAACGGACGGAGTTGGTGATGTCATCGGTCAACAGGGCGTTGCAGCTGAGGGCGCACTCGTTGTAGGAGAAGCGACCGTTGGCAGGCTGGCACCAGTAGTAGTTGTTGATCTGGAAGATGCCGTAGTCGTTGGAGCCGTTGTAGTTCTCGGGGCCAACAACGCCGGTGCGGTAGGAGCTCTCGTGCTCGGCAATGCAAGCCCAACGGGCCAGCTGGTCACGGGGAACGCCCAAGTTGGACATCTCCTGAGCCAGGGAGCAACGGTTCAGGGTGCGACCGAAAGCGGGGGCGGCAAAAGCCAGAGCAAGCAGAACGATGAAGGCCTTCATGTTTACAATTTACAATACAGTAACTGATGAAGAGAAGGCTAAAGTTTGGCGCTTTTATAGCTAAAAATTATCTATGCTAAACTGCTATCTGAAGTGGGCGCGTGTTTCGCCGTGATTTGACGTCTTATCAATGGACTTCATTAGACCCGTAATCGAAAGACTTCAAAAAGTAAACAGCCAAAGGAAAATGCTTAGCTGGCAGCAGATACTAGAAATTGGTAAATGCTATCGAACCATTTATCCGTAGCATTAATTAGCCTCTTTTTTCTGGTTGTTTCTGGCAGCCAAATAGCAGCAGTTAAATGTTAACCATTAACCTTGTTCGGCTCTTCGCTTAACAATTACTATGCTTGAAGTGTTGGCTATTGGTATTTAAAGTCGGATTTGAGCGTTGTACACAGCATTTAGAGCTGACTAATAGAAGGTAGCTGCAGCTCAGTGCTGCTAATTCAGCTATTTTAATTGCAAAATCTAGCTGATTTGTCGAAAATGAAAATTTAATTAAATGAGCCGGCGAAAATCATTCAAATTATTCCTTAAAGAGATCTTTCAAACCCCTCCATTCTTTTCCTTTCTTTCCTTCTCAACAAATGAGCTAAATTAATGAAGTTGGCTTCGACAATGCTTAAGGCTTAGCTTGTTTAGCTTTTTTCCAGTCATTCAAGCATGCCCTTTAGCTACCTTTTTCTGTTTTTCTGTTTTTTTTTTTTTTTTTTGGCTACCCTAATGCGGCCAACACTGTTGAGGTGTGAAGAGCATGCTCCATGGCCTGAAACTCTTTCTAAAACACAAATGAGAACTCAACAGCTGTGTGTACTTATGGTTACATTTCATAACGGTCACAAGTTGAATCGTTAAAGCTACTGACTCGGCACAGACCCCAAGGCTGGCACACACACACACACATACATACACATTCATTCGCAGAGATGGATCAACGTGAACATTAACGCCAACTCAGATGCACATATGGCTTTCTCGGCATATGGAGGAGGCTGACTTAGACAGTAGACAGTAGATAGAGCGCGGGGTCTAAAGACCTAACCGCAACTATGCAAAACCCGTCATTGTTGACGCTGCGCGCTGTTATATTAACCCCATTCAGCGCGGTGCATGAAACAGTGAGTACACTGACATAAATAACCAAGCATGCTCAACTTAAAAGAGCTGAGAAGCTACAATCAGCACGGCTAAAGGCTACTCATAGGATAATGTTACAGCTATGTCATAAATTGAAACTGAAATCTTCATTATTTATAAGCCTCAGTTTCTCTCAGTGCATATGCACAATAAGTCATGTTGGGAGGCAGAGGCACCCGCCGTTTTCCACTCAATTTTTTGCATCTGCTAGCGGTATTCCTTGTGGTCCCCCGCTGGAGGCACTTGTTGATCTGTAGGCGACCACAGATTTCTACACATATCTCCACACGCATTTCTCAGAAAGCTGTTAACCTTACCGACGTTGGGTTAACAGCGAAAATGAATGACAAAAGGCTACTGTAAAAGTCATTTGGCTAGGTGAAATGACTGACAAAAGTGGCTTCAAGGCATGCCAGGCCAAGGCATGCGAAGACAAGCTCTGTGACCCGCTTAGTTGTCTATGAATTATCGATTTTCTAGCCGGCGCTGACTTGTGAGTTCTTTGTTAGAGTCAACATAATCAACATATTCACTTTTACTTTTTCCCCTCCATATATACAATACAAGAACAAAGTCTTTTAACTAACTGCTAAGAGCTTGGCTTAGCATACGTATATGGGTCAACTAACAGTTCCACAATCGGAGTAGAAGAATTTCTCGAAAAAATAAAACCTCATCGCATATGCATGAGCTGGGCCTTTCAGCATCTCGAGCTGACCAATTATGCATCATTTATACAAAAAGTCGACACTAATTGTCTAATTATAGCAAAGGAATGTACAGTTACGATAATAGAACAGCTTAAGAACAGTTCCCCAAAATTGAGCTAAGCAAAGTATTCCCTCTGAATGGGTCAAAGAAAAGATGACTTAATATGTATAAAGCTTTGTATATACAATTTCAAATTCTAAGCATAAATGAAGCTCGAACTAAAGCTGCGAACTAATCCCGAGATCTTTTATTGATCAAGGAAAGTGTTGTGAAACACATGAATATTGATGTTCCAATTAAAATATATATAAATTGGTGTGACCAAATCCAAATATGAATGTATAGAAGTAGAAGCTAAGGGTGACCAAAGCGTAATATGAAGCCACTGATTGTCTACTTTCGGGTATCATTGCGAATAAATAACTTTCAAATCTCCGTCTTAAAAAAAAAGACAACAAAACACTAGAGATTGATTAAAATAATTTCAAATGAGTTTCTCGAGAGTTTGTAGCTTTTTCGGGCTTATTAAGTTGAAATGGACATTAATCTAATTCAATGTGTGTCGTCCATAAATAAAGACCATCAAATTAGAAACTTTTGCCAAACGAAAAACAAACAAATAATTTGTTGCGTGTTCATAAAAAAAGACAAAAACATAAAATAAACCTTTTCTGTTTTATTGCAGATTTTCTCTCATAGAAAGTAAAGTTGAACGAAACTCGGCTCCAAATGACAGCGCGGGTCAGACACGGATTATAAACAAAGCCCATCATATTCATTATGATATCAGAGCGAGACTAGAAACCAGACAAACGGACGGATCTCTAATCTAGCCACTGAGCAGAACTCCATCCATACAAAAATAGAGAAAAATTGGGGAAATATTTGAGACACCAAAAAAACTGCGAGTTTATAAGATAGTTTTGAAGCTAAGAATTTTTGTTTAACTATCTATAGGTATATATATATATACCTTGCTATCTATCTTTATCCATCCCGGCCATCTATTTCCCCATCTATAAGAAGAATGGAATTGGCAATATGATTAAGATTCCACGCGTCACTCAAGAGTTACTATAAACTTAACAAACGTGAAGCATCTGATTAGCTCCAGCCCTGAGCACTTACATCGCTATCAGCGCAATAGTTATTTGTCTACTAGACTGAAGGCTCTTGAGTTGGTTTCGTGATAACATGCCCTATAAAAGGGCAAGGCTTCTAGTTGTTCCTCATCAGTTTACTAGAAATTGTTAACATGAAGGCTTTCATCGTTCTGCTTGCTCTGGCTTTTGCCGCCCCCGCTTTCGGTCGCACCCTGAACCGTTGCTCCCTGGCCCGCGAGATGGCCAACTTGGGCGTTCCCCGTGACCAGCTGAACAAGTGGGCTTGCATTGCCGAGCACGAGAGCTCCTACCGCACCGGCGTTGTTGGCCCCGAGAACTACAACGGCTCCAACGACTACGGCATCTTCCAGATCAACAACTATTACTGGTGCCAGCCTGCCAACGGTCGCTTCTCCTACAACGAGTGCGCCCTCAGCTGCAACGCCCTGTTGACCGATGACATCACCAACTCCGTCCGTTGCGCCCAGAAGATCCAGCGCCAGCAGGGCTGGACTGCCTGGTCCACCTGGAAGTACTGCAACGGTGCTCTGCCTTCCATCAACGATTGCTTCTAAACTGATCACTTGTTGGATAAAAGAAATTAAAAGTTCAATAAAACTGCATTTAAATAAAACTGCTTCTATCTTTTGACTATAACTTTCGGCAGAATATTTGTTTGTTTATCATATTGGACTTTTCAATATAATTAAAAACCAATTTAGTTAACCTTTGAATCGTGAATTTTTGCTCATTTTTCAGGTCCACCAATCGCTTGTGTTTTATAGAAAGTAAACTCGAAGCCTTGGTAGGTGTTCGAGCAGAAATGACGGCGGCTCAACACCAATTTATGGGCCAACCCAAAACATATTAATTATGACCGCTCGAGGCATCAATAAGTCCGAAAACCAGTTGAACAGGTGTATATATTTGTAGCTTTTGTTGTGGAAATACAGCGACAACGCATTTAATTCATAGTAAAATATTAAACAATTAATCCAAAGATTTATTTATATATTTATATTTTTTATTTTTTGCAGTAGCAGTTCCGCATGTTCCGCCGATCTATGAATGGATATATATGTAGAGAGAGATAAAGACATATATGCATATGTCGAAGGTAACCCCAATACTCTGTTGGCTTTAACAATGTCGTATTCATTAGATGAATCGCGGCTAGCGTGATGTTGATTGACAATCGCCCAGGGCTGGAGCACGATATGCGCACAATTATAAGATTATTTGGAATTATAATCTCCATTGGCGCCTCTGGTCAAAGATTGGCTGATTCGTAAATTGTGGAGAAAGTGACCAAAAGCAACACCAAATGCAATGTTCCTGTCTGTCAAAATCAGATTTGTCTACCAATCAATGTCTAGAAGGAAATTCAGTTCAACGAGAAGCTGAAGATATATACAGGATATATGAAAGATATATGGGAGAAGGCTATTTAAGCTATGCTTAATAAACTCCTATAAAAGCAATCGACTCAGAACTCTAACTTTCGTGCCAAATCTAGTTAAGCAAAATCTAGATAATCCAGCAATGATATATAATTGTGCTCTCCTTGCAACAGCTGCAGCCCGAATATTCTCAAATGGCTACAGCTTAGCAGGTGTGGCAAGGCGAAGGCGAAGCTGAAGATAGAACTGCGAGGCTATTGAAATGTCTCTACGGATGACCTACTCACGTTTTGTGTGTTAAGTCCAGTTTATGTTTTGATTAATAATAATCAAATCGAATCAAAGCACCATCAAAGAAATTCCTGTCATAAAATCATTAAGCTACATGGATAGCCATCGCTCCTCTTCCATCTATCAAATGCCTAGCTCCACTGCAAATTCGTGCTCTTTCAGTGTGATCTATTTCATATCCCAATGGATATATTGTTGCTTGTATAATTTGTCTCAACTCAAATGGCTGTGAGTGATAGGCCTATGCATGTATTTACTCACTTTTGATAGCTCCACAATGGCCCCAGGCTGTGCACATCTTGCCAGACGTAACCTAACTTGCTTTACTTAATGCAAATTGTTAGCTTGGCTTTGTTGTCTATTTTGTGTGTGGACAGCTGGCCTTTAAGCCCAATTAACTGACGATGGCTGCTGCTGCTTTGAACACCTTAGCTATACCAAATGCTTTTGCACCAGTTCCATTTAGTTCAATTAGTTTTGTAGCTAACAGCAAGTGAGAGGCTGACACAGCGGCCCGATACCCTGTAATTATATTCATACGGAGCCAAAAAGTACTCTATATAGTCGACTATAGATCCATTTTCGTAAAACTGATATATCTGTTAAATAATGAATATATAATACGGTATAATAGGTATTCACCCGATTTCAGTATACCCGCTCGGCTAAGGTCTGTGCGGCATACAAAGCCCATTGCTTAAGTCGCATAAAGAGCAGCTTAAAGCGAATTGCGGTTACTCAATCAACAATTGCCTCATTTGTCAGGTGTCCAACAACTGTCTGTTGTCTATGATTGAGCTATAATTTCCTAACCGACTGTGCAGTATACCCTAACTTCACCAAGAATTCAGCGTATAAACACAAAAGGAAATTTCTTTTCTTTGTTTTCGGGTCTTAGCCCAAAGTCTTTTTGTGTGGCTCGAATGTTTGGGCCGTTTGATTGCGTGTGACGCCCAACTGTCCAGCTGGAGCGTGTCCAATGCATAAGCTATTTATTATTAACAATTGTTAAATCAGACCGGAACACTTTTCGTCTAACCGTGCACGGCCCATAGCATAGACCTGCATGAGTTGTACGAGTTGTATGAGTTGTGCCCGTTGCTGCCCACTGATATTTCTTTCATTGTTTGTCTTACACTTGGCTCGGTCTGTGTGGCAAGTGGCATTGTTAGCGACTATAACTGGGGCTACGTAGCAGATGGTGATCGGCACGGGGGGATCTAGTGTGTGACTTGGCTCGAAGCGTGCCGTCGCCAATTCAATTTTTCATCAAATGGAATTGCACTTTTTGCCGCTTTCGAGTACGGTTAATAGTAATTTGTCTTATTTCTGTATATGTTTTGGTATACCCCGTAATAATCGGAATAGAGTATACTGTGCTTTTATGTACGGATGTTACAGATAGAAAGATTTTACTGAGGTGTGTAGGGTGAATTCATTTAGTAAAGGAAAGAATTAAGTCTGAAGTAAGTAGCTATACATTTTCCGAGTTTATAGGATGTCAGAAAAAAATATTAAGAACAGTATAAAGCTCTTACACAGAATATACATAATATATAGATAACAGGCAAGCGTAAGTGGTCTTTAGACAGGCTTGAAAGAAAACAGATTACAGAATATGTAATATGAGAGAAAAAGCTGGGAAAAGATTTGATAATGGTTAAGTTGAGTTTACACCTATTAAGGAAAGCAAAATTAAATTACAGAGTATATCACAATCGAGCCTTATTATTTCTTTCCTTTTTGGTATTTTAGTTCGACACACACGCAGCAATTTATATGGCCACAATATTTTTATAGCATCGACTGTCAGCCTAACGAGCCGTCGTTGTCTCTCAAGTGGTTCTATCAAACGCAACCAACTTAAAAGAGAAAAAAAAATATAAAAAATCAACAAAAACCGTTGGCAGCTCAATGCCAGGGCTGCCCACACGAACCCAAGCTCGAGAGGATTTGCCGTGAGTGAGCTGTGATGAGAAAGTCGAGCCCTATTAGCATATATGTATGCATAAGATGTAGATTAGGCGGTGGGCGTATCAACCAGCCAGAGCCGCACAGCAGCCGGAGAACAATGCGAGGTCATGGGCAACCAAGCTGCATGCCGAGTTGACCACTGAGTGAGTGTGTGGGGAATAAGGGGGCAATGGGGCTGTGGGGTGTTGTTCTCTTACCTCGTTTAGCTTTATTCCGTTCACACTTCTAGGCCAAAAACGAAATCCAATTTGGAGCAAATGCGAGCAAAATGACACGAATCCAAATTGGGCCAATTCAACACACACAATGTACTCAAAAAGTCTATACACACACGCACGCACACACATGCACACATACACTCTTCAGGTATGCATGTATTTGTTTTGTGATTGGAAAAGTTGGCTTTCCTGCACTTTGCAGCGTCATCGAAGAACAAGAAACATAAATTGAGAAGATTAGCACAAAGCGAACGCGCAAAACTTCTTATGCTACTTAGTTACGGTTGCAATTGTTGTTGTTGTTGCTGCTGTCGCTGTTTGCCGTAGATGCTGCAATAGGCCATAAGAATAACAACAACACAGCACAGCACAGCATAGCACTGCACAGCACAGGCCAAGCCGGGGCCAGTTGTCAGAGTCGTACTCGTTTTACCGTTAGAATGCAATCAGCTCGCGCGCTCGAAATGCCGAAGGAGTGCGAGAGAGATAGATTGAGAGAGAGGGCAGCGAGGGGATAGTGAACGGTATGGAGACGGCACTTTTCTAACCAATATAAACTCGTTTCTCACGAGAACGCACAACTGTCCATAAATACACAAACACATATACGTCCATATGTGATCATAAGTAAATATATCTCGCGTAATCACGTCGGCGACACGTAACAAGGCTCGAGTGAAGGTGGATGAAGCCGTGGCTGTTGTCAAATTAACAACATTCCCAGCCAATCAGAACCTTTGCCCAAACATTCAATTGTATTTGACGAATGCACTTTGTTAGACCTGAGGCACGACTAGCAAAGCCATCGTTCGTCTATTTTTAACTAAGCTAAACACAGTTATTCATCGAAGACGCTCGCTCGTTCGCTGCGCCACACACCACAAACACGTCTGTTTCGCTTCGAAGTCACGCACCGACTGAGGCAGCTGAGCCGAGCCCGAGCAACCGTAAACTGAGCTCCGATGCACGTTGACTTCTACTTCGGCTCTCGGCTTTCGACTCTCAGCGCTTAGCGCTCGGCTGGCTTAACTTTCTCAACTCGTTTCAAGTGTGCGTGAGCTGTTTTATAAGACGCTCTATGCGAGTATAAGAGTATCTTAAATCAGACCAATTTCAGCTTATACTTTTTTTTCTCTTTTTATTCAAATATCAATTGTGATCAGCTTAGAAGCAATCGTTGATGGAGGGCAGAGCACCATCGCAGTACTTCCAGGTGGACCATGCGGTCCAGCCCTGCTGGCTGAGGATCTTCTGGGCGCAACGGACGGAGTTGGTGATGTCATCGGTCAACAGGGCGTTGCAGCTGAGGGCGCACTCGTTGTAGGAGAAGCGACCGTTGGCAGGCTGGCACCAGTAGTAGTTGTTGATCTGGAAGATGCCGTAGTCGTTGGAGCCGTTGTAGTTCTCGGGGCCAACAACGCCGGTGCGGTAGGAGCTCTCGTGCTCGGCAATGCAAGCCCAACGGGCCAGCTGGTCACGGGGAACGCCCAAGTTGGACATCTCCTGAGCCAGGGAGCAACGGTTCAGGGTGCGACCGAAAGCGGGGGCGGCCAAAGCCAGAGCAACCAAAACAATGAAAGCCTTCATGATTTTACTTCAGTAAACTGATGTCGAACTATGGAAATGCTTTCCATTTTATAGGAATTATTATCTCTGTGGAGTTGCTATCTAGAGTAGTTTGCAAATTGCGAATTGATTATAGCGAAATTAAAGCAACTTTTTGAATTTATCTGAGTTTGATCACCCAGACATTTTAAATAATATTTACTGTGCAGACGCGATAACATAACTGCAGTGTCATAAGCACATGCGAGAGCTTTGATGTTGATTTACCGATTCCTAGCCACTTGAAGTTTCTATTGAAAGTATGCAATACTTTCACTGATATTCTCAAAGTTAAGGCCAGCCAAGGCACTTAACTGTGGCACATGATATAATAGAAAGTTTCTATATTATTTATACACTTTTAAAAATTCTATGGAGGATGCCTAATATATAAATTGAAGATACGCCAAGCACCTCAGCCAGAGATTATATAATGTCAAGTGCACTCAAATTCGCCAATTCAAATTTGAGGGGATTTCCAACATGCTTATCAAATACCAATACTCCATCGATTGACCAAATTAGATAGAAAGTAAACGAAACTTGCATGCCAGTTAGAAGAGCTATGTTAGACGCACTTCTGATATCGATTGCGGCACAGACTAAGATAAGTTTTCGCCTATAAAAAGGAAAGCATTTCCATAGTTCGACATCAGTTTACTGAAGTAAAATCATGAAGGCTTTCATTGTTTTAGTTGCTCTGGCTTTGGCCGCCCCCGCTTTCGGTCGCACCCTGAACCGTTGCTCCCTGGCTCAGGAGATGTCCAACTTGGGCGTTCCCCGTGACCAGCTGGCCCGTTGGGCTTGCATTGCCGAGCACGAGAGCTCCTACCGCACCGGCGTTGTTGGCCCCGAGAACTACAACGGCTCCAACGACTACGGCATCTTCCAGATCAACAACTACTACTGGTGCCAGCCTGCCAACGGTCGCTTCTCCTACAACGAGTGCGCCCTCAGCTGCAACGCCCTGTTGACCGATGACATCACCAACTCCGTCCGTTGCGCCCAGAAGATCCTCAGCCAGCAGGGCTGGACCGCATGGTCCACCTGGAAGTACTGCGACGGTGCTCTCCCCTCCATCAACGACTGCTTCTAAACTTGACAACCTAAAACTTGAATAAATGATTATATAGAAAATTCCAATGTGTTTGAATCCCAACAGCCAAGCAGTTCATTTCTACTGACACAAGCAGTGCATTTATTTAGTTATTTACACAGGCAGCCTAATGGTAGGCAACACTTCTTTTCAGATGTTAGCTGACGCAAGCTGCTTGATATGAAGGCTGTGCAGGCGGTAAACTCGAATTTGTTTTGTTTTAGCTCACCTGTAACCCATGTATTTGCCGTTGTCGTAAATGGAGTCGAGAGAATATTCATCTGCATTTGAGCTGCCCGCATTGGTGCGCTTATCCAGTGCATCCTCGTAGCAGTAGCTGCAGCTACAGCTCGAGTACTGCGAGCAGTAGGAGGAGGCATCCATGTCTGTCATGCCAATGGAGCACTCCTCGTCAGCTCGACGTGAACGCTGCTGTGCTTCCACAGGTGAAACTTTCTGGGTGGTCGAGCGACTGCAGAAGTTGAAGGCAATCAGTAATAGGTGGATGGCGGAGTTTCATGACTAATTACCTCGTGACCACGTTCCAGGTGCGATGTATTAGGTAGAGCAGAAAGAGCATGCGCGACGTCTCACCGCCCTGCGACGCATTGCCTGTGCCCAGACAGCTGCTCGAGCCAAGATGCTCCTCATTAGCCTTAGCCTCGTTCTGTGCATAGCGCGCGGGCAGAGTCTTCGAGCGAAACTCATCCTGCAGGCAGTACTCCCGCTTGTGCTGCTGATAGCGCCGGCGCGTATTGAACTGGGAGCTGCCCTCGTAGCCCGCGCCGACTCCCGCTGGCGATCTCTGTGCCCCGCTGCGATTGCCCATTACGATTGTGTTGCTCCGTTGTCAAGCATTGCCTAATGTGACAGGAACATGGATGGCGATTAATCAACAAATAGAATGATCACTGAATGTTCTTTGTATATTGGTACGTATATGTGTATATGTGTGTGAGTGGTCGACATAGTTCGTAACCAGTTGGTGAGGTAAAAAAGCGCAAAAGTGAAGTGAACGACCAACTTCTGCGAATGGGCCTCTGGAATTGGGTCACTCGAGCTCGTTTGAAGACGCCTATTGAGGTCGACGCCGGAGCACAATGAGCTCAGCCTGCTGCATAGATGGCAATCCTTGGCAAATGTTCTCAATTGAGAATTGAAGAGCTCCCGCTTACCGCCTCCCGTCTCCCGTCTCCCGCCTACCGCTGCCTCTTCGCGTAATTATGATCAACAATCTGTGTGATGGACTGAGAGGCTGCTCGGACCACTTTTGGTAATAATCTCTTTGGACATGAACATGGACATGGACATGGCCAGTGTGATTAGATGCGTCAATGGCGTACACGCAGCGAAAACCGGCAGCAGGTTCTATTCGGCAATCAGGTCTAGACGTGGCTTAGCTGCAAATTGCTGTATTGGAAACGCTTTTAATTATCTCTAATAGCTGATTGAATGCTGTATGAGAGCCCAGCTTTTCGCGCAGTGTAGCGAGTGTCGCAGAATTCCTCAAAGGCGATCCGTCAGCTAATGGGGACACAGCAGAAGCACTGCTGATATGTGGGTCGAGAGCGGGTCAATCATATGCTCGGGTCAGCATCATGCAACATTCATCAACCTAACACCCAGGCAACACTTCAATTGTCCCAATCCCGAGGGGAGTCCAGGGCAAGCCTTATCTGGAACTGCCACCAAGTGCTGGGCTGTCTAATGTGACAATAGCTCAGGTCTGCGGCCAGCCCCAACTATCTCTGTGGTTGCACTATCGCAGATGAGAGCTAAGCCCCAAGAGTGTGCGCAAACAGTTCTTATCACTTGTGTGTATACCGTACAGTACAGTAGTGACTCAATAGAGAGACCCTTTCAATGGCCAAAGGGCCTTAACTGTACAGTACAGTAAAAACAGCTTAGTGCAGAATTTCATCAATGAATGAGCCGACGCCCCGAGCGAGCATTCTCTTCTAACTGTATTCCGTGGAGAAATGGACTAATTTGTATAATGCCAATAATATATTTGGTCCAACCGAGTCTTTTGTCCATTTTTGTATTTATTATTTTTTATGGTTTTTTCACACAAAAGCCTTTCGAATATGTAAACTAGAATGCAGAAGTCGAGTCGAAATCAAATCTGAAACTCGTTTCCAGTTTTAACGGCCATGACAAAATATACAGAAGGGGAAAGTTATCGGGCGCGTGGAAATTATTCGTAGGGTAGGTTAAAAGACATCCAAATAAAAATAAACAAAACAGTCGTGTGGGCTCAAAAGGCGCATAAAAAGAAGTAGAATAGAAGTCTATTAGGAGTGTGACAGCAATACAAATATCAAGTTTTCCAAAGTTGTTCAGTTTCGTAGAGTGCATTAAGCAATTCTCAGTTTCTAGATCAGCTCTATCATAAAAACCATTTAGATTGGGCTACATATAATCATTGAAATAGTATGGATACAGGTTAAGTGTTATTATATTTCTTAGCTGGAGTTTTCAGGAATTTCTAAACTGTCTGAAAATAAAACTGATTGATTGAATGGTTAGTCTGAATTTCCCAAATCTTGATGAAATCTTGATGCTGCTATTGACAAGCCAAGAGCAACTACTAGAAATGATAGTTACTTGAAAACCTTGTCAATTCTGTGACTATATCGTTATTATTATTTAATCTGAAATGATGTATAAAATATATAGCTCTTACTCCGTCTGTTGGCCCTCAAGACGAATGACTACTGTGCCATTTAATGTGCCATCTCTCGTACCATAAAGCCCAAGAGCGAAAACATGAGCTTAAGGCGTGTCTGTCCGCCTGTGCGTTCAGTGTCCGAAAGAAAACAAATTTAGGTGCTAATCAAATATGTTTGCGGAAAATCTACGAAATGCGGTTTATCTTATCATCGAACGGGTCACCCTGTATGAGCGGGCAATGTTAGCTATAGGACAAGCCAGCCCAAAGGCGAGCTGTGCGCAGTTGCGGCTACTCAGTCGCATTTCCAAGCAACATCGATCAAGTCGCGACTTTAACGAGCGCCATTCGAATTCGAGCAGCCAGCAAATAGGAAACATGAGCCAGAGCCAGCTGAACACGGCCCAGTTGGTCTTCGAGGAGAAGCCACTGCATGTGCCCACACTGGAGGAACTGCAGCAAGGTAAATTTAAAGAGGGGGAACAGTAGCATGAGCAGCAGCAGAAGCAGAAGCAGCAGCAGCAGCAGCAGCAGTAAAATGCTGCAGCAGAGTGAAACGCAGCAGCAACACATTAAATGACCTTCACAAACTGTGCCGAACTTTCCATAGCCGGTTTTTTCTTTTTCGTCGAGGCGTTCTCTTTGCGTGTTCTTATAGAGTATAGCGAGGGGCCTAGCCGAATGGGTGGGAAAATATGTGATGTGTGGAAGAAGAACACTGAGTGAAGCTATGTTACTCTTGATCTCTATCTAAGAGCTTAGGCAAGATCCGAATGCATTTAAAAAAAGAACAGAAGCTAAGAGCTGAGTTATGGCGATAATTTGCATCTTTTCAAATATCACAATTCTCAGCTGATAAACTGATAAACATTGCGCTTAGCTCACAATTGTAAGAAATGCAATAAATTATTGTTAACACTTAAAGCTCAGATTAACAAGTCTTCTATTCATATAAAAAATCTCAAACACATATCTCTTTAAGCAAATCAACTCAGGTAAGGGTGTTTCAAGTACGTCACTTAAATGACTGTTCGCTCCCTCTCTCTCTATCTCTGCTATTCATTCTAAGCACAAAAACAAATGTGAACGTCAGCTGGAGAGCTTTTGATTTAGCTTTTCAGCGTTGTCTTGATTGAGGGCAAGATAAAGCTTTTGCCAGTGTCAACGCTCAACACTCTCTCTTTCTCTCCCTCTCTCAGTCATACAGGGTGCTCTGCGTAAAAACTTTGTTAACGCCTCTGTTGAGGTGGGCGCCTGCCCCGATCTGAAGGCCAAAGAGTTTGGGCTGGTGGAGTCCGGGCTGGGCGGCAAAGCTACGCTGCTGGAGGTGGGCGGTCCGCCGTATTTGCTGCCCGTGGTGCAACGGGACAAGCTGTATAATATCAAGGAGATTACGCGCCGCATACAGGGTGCTGGGAAGATATTCGCCATTGGCGCCGGCGCTGGACCCTACCCCATACGCAGCTCCAACTGCGAGGGCATCTACAATCTGTCGGTCAGCGCCGCCGACGAGCTGACCAATGGCAGCTACACGGCCACGGTGCGCGGCGAGCACGAGGAGTGCGTGCTGGAGCGCATTCCCAGCACGGAGCCGCGCTGTGCCCTGCTGCTGAATCTGTACCTGAGCCGGGGTGAGTCTGGGCCAGTGCTGAAGATCAGCGCCAAGCAGCGCAAGGGCGAGCTCAACTTCATTGAGTGCATACGCCAGGGTCTCGAGGAGCACTACGGGGACCGGGTGGTCGGACTGGGTGGCATATTCGTGATTAGGAAAGGCGCCGTCCACCAGCACGTGATGCGCGACTTCAGCACGACGCCCATTCACACCGATGAGGAGCTCAACCAGTGGCTCAAGTTCTACGAGATGCCCGCCCAGCTGAACGCCCTGGGCACGCTGGTCACCAAGGAGCACGATCTCGATCTGCGTCTCCAGCACTTCCACTCCTTCTCCTTCAGCAACTGGGGCGGCCACTATCACTACGACACCACGCCCGACACCGTCGAGTACGAGGCCTATCTGAACGTAGCGGAGCGGGTGGTGCGCGTCGACAAACCCCTGGCCACCCACAAAGTGGGCAGGGACTAGCCCAGAGGTTAAGGATATGCCCCAAAAGTTTACACCAGTTGTAGTATAATAAATAAAAGTCGCAAAGTAACTAAACGATTCTTTCTATTGATTGATTGTGTAATAAATAAAATTAAAAGTCTCTCCTCTTCAGGAAGAAGAAGATAGAAATGATACAGATTTTATAAGAAATGGATACCTCTGGGATATAGAATTTGATCAGTTTACCGACTGCATAGGTGCTGGATGAAATGGAATATGCTCTGCTTATTTGCTTAATCGCTTATCTGTGGCATATACAATATACATTTGTATAGATTATGGGTATTCCATTGACTTGTTAGACTCCCACTACAACTGCCCTACTAACTTGTTTCACTTGCCAGTTTGATGGTCTAGTCTGCCCTTTGCTCTATAAATACGTTAGCTAACGACCTAGACAAGAGTGAAAATAGTTTCTATTTTAGTTCAATTTCTGCTTCGTTTCATAACGGTGTTTTGGTCTACAGTTTGTTGGGTTCGATTAGAGGAGGCGAGTGCGGGGTGGCGGGTGGCGGGTGAATGGGGTTTTATGTAATTGGCAAGCAAATTGACAGCTGAACTTTCTACAGATGAGCGGCAAATCAATCAAAAGATGATCCACAGCCGACGAGCTCCACTTCTAGACAAAGCCGAGCACATGCTCTCGGGTTCTGGTTTTATGACTCCGTTGCCCGCACTAATGAGAATACGCCAGAGTTACGGCAAGCGGTTGGCTAAGCAGGCCGTAAATAATGCAGCAGCAAGCATGCACCAATATCCACACTCCACTCCACTCCACTCTGCTCCACTCGACTCCTCTCTGCTCCACTCTACGCCACTCCACGACATGTAACAAGCATTTCTTTTGTTTCAGATTTTTGTTTTGCTATTTTTTGCATCGCTGGCCATTAATTATTTAATAGCTGCGATGCAAAGAGTCGATTCGAGTCGAGTCGAGTGCGAATCGTGCGGACCACAGGCTATTAAGTTGTTTGGGCGAATTTCTCATATCGAGACTGGATTTGCGCGCTATCTGTAGCACTGCGATCCAATGCAATTAGTATTGAATGCCAGCGACAGTAGCAGATCCACACTATATATACATCAATTTATACATAGACATTTGTCGATATTGAGGAAAACAATTTAGGAGCGCTACAAAGGGAATTCGATTCGATTCTCGTTTTAATGTTTATTGATTTCAAGGTAAGTTAATACTTTGTAAACTTTCGGTATGCCGCTTATATAGCTTGGACTTTCATTTATTTTGGATCAATGAATGTTATGAGAGCTTTTGCCCAACTCTGTGCAACATGGTCAATATGATATTCTGTTTAGTTTAAGCCAACTTTAACAATCTGTATTTATATACAATTTTAAAATATATCTATATTTATTTATTTATTTATTTTTTTTTTTTTTTTTTTTTTTTTTTTTTTTACTCTTTTGCATTGCCTTTTTAAACTAATTTTTTTGACTAAAAAAAAAAAAAAAAATTTTACTCATGTAAGTTTTAATATTTAACATGCAGTTTTTTGTATATATAATACACAAACAAAAACTTACCCAAAAATTGAATAAGTTTCCTTCACAATATATATATGTATAAGTATATATATGTATATGCAGATATAGTTATGTAGATATTGTCGATATATCTATTAGCTTTCAGGTCACTTTTGCTGTTTGCAGCTTTTTATTTTGATTTTGATTATAATTTACTTTTTAGCTGTACGTCTCAACGAATAGATTTCTAATATTTGCATTTAGATGTTCGATTATTCAAATTTATGTTTGGCCCAACAACATTACGACGGTCGACTTCATCTCCAGCTATACAACAATAAGCCGGCCCGAAAGCCCCACAACAATGAGATGAAAAATACGTTTATCGAACTGGGCTCGAACCAATTTAATCTGCGATTTGGGTTTCTTCTTCGCTTCTCTCTTCAGAAGCACACAAAAAGTTATTAATCTGAGGCTAGAGAGAAATGCAAATACGATTTCGCTGCCGCACCAAAAAGAAAATATCTATATACACCTATTGTGGTTGTTGTTGTTTTAGGGTATGTTGCTGTTGTTGTTGTTTGTGTTTTTCTAGACGCTTGCACACTTATTCACAATAGTTAAACACACACAATTAGCACTTTTTATTAGCTCAACTCGGTTTTGATCGACTGCCTGCCCGTGGGACGCGCCCAGCTTGCAACGAGTTGCTGCTGTTGCTGTTGCTGCTGCTGCTGCTGTTGTCGTGATTTATGTTGCTGTTGCTGTTGCTCTTGCTTTGGCTGAGATCGCGCTCACGTCTGTTCGGCTGAAGCTCACGTTGCAGACTGAATGAAGTTGGCCAACTTTACGAACTGAATGAGTAGCTGCCGCTGCTGCTGTCGCTGCTGTTGCCGTTGTTGCTGCTGCTGTTGCCACTTGTTGTTGCTGCTATACTCTGTTCACAGCGTGAAGTAAGGTATATGGCTGAGCGTAGGCTAGTCTGGCTGGTGGCTGACTAGAAATTGTTCGAAATGTGTTTAAAAGCTGTTAAGCTATAGCTTACCCAGGCATCCAACTATGTGCATTATCTATATATTAAACGACGGCTGTTTGAGATTTGAATGAAGACAAGTTTGAATAGCAAGAAAATGGTATGTTTTAAGCTAACGATAAATATACGTTTCATAAATACTTCCTTTGAAGTGGGAAGATGTTCCTCTTGTTCTTAACAGGATATTCTGCAATCAGAGAAAAATATAGTGCCTTTATCAAAGAGCAGATTCATGTGTTTAGTTGTTTATGAGTGCGGGTATGCTCTACTCTACTCTAAAACAGAGTATTGTGCAGTCAAGTGCATCAATTGCGCCGTCTGCTGCTGCTTGCTTTGCATTGTTGCTGGTTTAGTTGTGGGCATGTTGTTGCTGTTGTTGGTGGTGTTGCTGCTGTCGCCTGTTGTTGTCTTTGATTGAAATTGTCGCTTAATCTCAATTTGGACACATTTGCTGAGAGCTAGATGAATTTTGCCATGACTAAACGCTGGCAACAAGTGCAGCAAACAATGCGGGCCAGCTGCAAAAATTTGAAGTTTCCAATTCCCCAACCAGTTCGCAATCTATTAACTTATGCAGTCAATGCCAATGTCAGCCAACAACAACAACAACAACATCTAGTGAAGTCCTGCCCGCCAATGGCAACATAAACTAGATCCCGCCTAAAAAACCATCGAAACATCGAGCCATGTAGGAGAAACGCGTTAACGACGACGACGACGGGACAGGCTCGCCTGCCCATATTTTAATTGAAATTGCATAATGAGACGCAGTCGAAGTCTTTATAGATACCGTAGTAGGTACTTTTCATATCGGACAACTCGTTTTGGCGCAAGGAACGAAAATAACATCTTGTAAGTCAAATTACTTTTAAATTAATTCAAATTAACCAACGTCTACGAGAAGCTTTGACAGCATCTCAGAGACTATAATTATGCAGAGTTATTCAATGCGCTGGAAAGTATATTGGCTTCCCTCTTCGTTGTGTGCTGTTCAAGTTAGTCTCTAGAGTTACAAGCACCCCTAGATTTCGGAGATCTATTTCTCTCTATATATATGCACATGATGTATAAGATGGACGAAGCGTTTCATTTGCTCAAAACGTTTTTAATTTTACATTTGTTCTTGATTAAAATAGTAACAAGAGCTAGATGCTGGCTAATTAATTAAAATAAACTGAAGGCTCATCGCAGATATGATTCTTTGGAATGGCATTGGATGCCAACAAGGAAAATAAAAATTATGTTACTCGTTATGCGACGATCATAAAAATAATTTAAGCAACCCGTTTAACATAGTGATTTACTTTTATGCAGAATTATCGCAACGGAGAAAGAAATGCATTTATGTCTTGTCAGGCAGACGCGACTCTCTCGGTAGATGGTAGTTCCGGCTCTTCCCATTGTGGTCGTAGCCGTATGCCGCATCTGTTGGTTCATCTATTGGTAGCGGGACAATTTGGGCAGTGGGGCAAAGGCAGATGCAATCAATGGCGCATTTTTCGATGCTTGCGAGCTAAAATCAGAGACCAAAGAGGGGGAGGTGATGTCAGCATGAATCTTAACTGCTTGCTGAATTCTACATACCGCCAGAAGAGGGAGCTGCCGCGTTTCAGTTCTTTGCGTCCCTGCAAGTCATTCCAACAGTCCACCCAGTGTTTGTAGCTAGGCATTATTGGCGGTTGGCCGGCCATAAGGCGTGAGCCGCTGACTGCGGAGCATGTCGACACCACTTGCAGTGGGTACAGTAGACTGGAAAACATGAACTGCATGAAGCCCGCATTGTACTGCCGAGCCAGCTTGTCCTTGATGAAGTATTTGTTCACAACGAAAACTGTGGAGCTGGATAGCACTAGACAGGCTACGTCGCACAGCAGTTTGGGGATCAGGCCAGAAAAGAAGCCCAGTATGCCTTCGGTCCTCCAGATTTCTCCAATCGAGCCCAATATCGAGTTGTATAGAGTCTCGCGACCCACAAACTGTGCCATCATGCGCAAGGAAATCACATGGAAAGGATGTGCCACAATAATCCCGCTGACCGTCAATACAATGTCCCGCTTCAGATTGTACTTGAATTGCATGTAGCTGGCAGGCAAGAAGACAATGATGATGACATTTACTTCATTATAAAGTGGAGAGCTATACTCACTTCTCCTCTTCGGTCAGCTCGGACTCGTCCTTATCTTCACGTTGGGTTAGTTCCAGCTTCTCCGCACAACGCTCACTAATAACCATGCTCAAGACGGACCCAACCAATTTGGGGGCCAGACCGCGATAACATCCGTAAAAGCCATCCACCCTCTTGATATGACCAGCTATGATTGTTTTTGTGATATAAGCGAAAAAGCAGAGATCGAAGTGCGATTTGAAATGCCGGCCGGTGGCAGGTGTTATGCGATTTACTTACCGTACTGAAATATGTTTGGCAAGACCATAATGGGTTTGCCCATCATGGACTTGCCCGGTCTCGCGGCTATGGGCTCATACCCAATCTGTATCAGTGTCTTTGAGTATTCAAAAGGATGTAGTGCAGCGCTAA